GATCCGTATTAAGTGTTCGTTTAAATTTTTTTTTTTAATCAAAAGGGAAGCGGGCGTTTGATTTGGTTGTTATCTTTCAAAAATGTTTCTACCATTTTAGCTCGATTCCTCTATACATTGTAGACAGATCTGTTTGACAGGAACGCTGTGCAATGAATCGTTATTGTTGTCTATCACTAAACTATTCTCCAAACGAAAAAATTACGTTGGTATTTCTGCGGGATACGACAGTAGGAAAGTATTAATATGCTGAATATTTCACTAAAATTGATATTATTTCATTCTAGAACACCATTGTTGTTACAGCCGAGGCAGTGATAAATAAAGACCAGTAAAGGCATTATTGTAAATATATGAGTTTATGAATTTATCTATAGGAATATTCTGCACGACACGGGCAGAATTTGAATATACGGCATTATTAGTCTTCACAAACTTAATACAAACCTATATGGCTTCATAATAATACTATATGTTGTAATAGATAAATTTTTCATTTGGTTTGTGGAGGTTATGCGCCCTTTTAGGTAAATTCCTTGTTTATTAGTACTCTTTTAAACACTGGAATTATTTGCATTTAAAATGCCGAACTAATATTTAATGATATGAAAGGGATACTATGACGTCATTTCTGCTATTGTTTTGATTGGCTTACGGTTCCATGTGGTATTACAAGGAACATGGGCGGGGTAGGACTAGTTCTCGTGGTTTAAGGGGGGAGGGGATTACATCTGTATGGGGTCTTGTGTGATCTTGCTCCTAGCTACCTCAATATGTCATGCCAGATGTGATGTTAAATTGATAAAGACGCAAGGCTTGGTGTAACTTTGATGTTAGCTTTATGGATTATTAGACAGCTAATTTGCATGTGTGTGACTGGCACCCCCAAAGATGTTAATGATTGGGTAATTTAGATTTGTCCCAAGGTGGAATTTTAGAAAGCTAATTCCTGCTTTTGACTCGGTATTAAACAACTTAAACCAGCAAATACTAAGCGTTTAACTTTGGAATTATCACAGGAGATTCGATTAACTACAAATAATCCTCATTGTCTGCTTAGAAATAAATACATGGCTTGACGGATTGGTTATGTCTCGGGTTATATGTGTCTATTTAAAGTATCGAAATATATTGAAATTGTTTCAATTTAGATTTTAAAAAGTGCAGTCTATAATTGTGCAAAATTGGGAAAGAGGATAGGGTCATAGCCAAGAGATGCGATTACTTTTAATTGTTTTTAATTTAGGAACATTTTGCCTGGAAAGTGGCGTTTCCGCCTTAGCTTCGTCCACTTAAAAGCGACAATAAACTAGGCAAATAATTGACGCGCGACTTCGTATATTGATAGGGCGCATACCAACTCTTCATGGAATTGCATCTCTCATGGATATTTTACGTGCATGCCAACAAGTACCATTCGGGGCCGAATCTAGGATTCACTCGTTAGTGAGTCAGTACCATACCCATCGAGCCACTGCGGCTCGGAATTAGGGAAACGGTTGCAACAAGATGAGCAACATCTAAACCACAACAATTTGTTTGAGAAGACAAATGCCATATATATATACATTTTATACCGTTTGTATAGCTACCTAATTGTTGAGTCAATGAATATTCTTTATTTTTTAGAAATGAAACAGACTTAGTCAATGACACATGTACATTGATTCGCGTCCGATGGCGGTGAAAAACAGTCATCATCTTTGTATTAGTTTATGAAATTTATCATAAATGTATTTATCTGATCTAACTAGCTTTTTATGTTAAACTTCAAAGGTTCGGCTTAAAACAAAAGAGAAATGGCCCTGAGGTTAAAAGGCGTGATTTCAGAAATATAACAATTATGATTAAATTCCTTGATATGTTTGATGTTTTCTACAGAGCAATATTTGTGGCACAACATTCTACAGTGAAGATGCCTTATATTGATAATAATGGCTGATTTAGGAGATAAAACGGGAGGTAATTACTTAAATCTGTATTGAAAATATGATTCTAAATGTAATTGCTAATCAGCAGATGAAATACCTCTTATTAGAAAATCAACTAAACTAAAATTGAACTTAATTATCGTTTTGTTCGTTTATTTTTTTCAATATAGAGTACATAAATAAAATTTAAAATAAAACGAAACGAAACGAAACGTAGCTGTCGTCTGATTTAAATCGGATTGGTTATTATTTGGCTGCGATTCCGTCGATGCCACTCAATAAGAGAAACTTAGTTAAATTTAATGGTCTACTCTAAAAAAAAATGTAAAACGTATTTCCGGTCTGGCGAAAGTGGATCAAATTGACACTATTAAAACTAACCAATTACTTTAATTAAAACATTCACCACTTTCTTCTTTCTATGAAGAATTGGCAATTAATGTTTTAATAAATACATGTATGTTTCAATTGTTAAAATTTATTTCAGTTTCAAATTAGAATATACAAGGAGAAACTGAAAATAAATTAGGTACAAAGGGTTTTTGTTTAAATTATTCAAATATTTCATAAGGAAATTATTAAACGGGGAAATAGACATGTTGACGCCGATATCAGCTTATATTAATATACTAAATATGTTACGAGGGATAAACAAAGGCGTTTAAAATATGAAATGAACTCTATCTACCTTTCACTAGCTAATCATGTGTAAATAAATACCTATGGAAAAGGGCCTGTAGCAATTTGAAGTCAACCGATGATCTGTTTGCTGTAGGCTGATTAGATGATGTGGGCATGATGAATAGATAGAAAAGATATACTGCTACATTATGAGTCGTTATCACAGGAAATATATATTTCTTACAGGCATATAGCAACCCAAGACATAAAATAAAATAAAATGGTAATAATAACAAAACCGAAACCGTCGTCACCAGCACATTTTTATTAAAATATCATAATTTCAGTATAAAAATGAATTTCACTGCCCTTGATAAGTAAAATTTAAAAGTTTATTTTCAGCTAACAATCGAAGAAAATATTTTGTTATAATATTTACAATTGAAAACAAAACAACAAGAAATGGATTTTTCAAAGTAAATAAAAAAAATACTTTTTTTTCGCTCGATAAAATCATAAATATTAACTTAATATTTAATTTGCCTGGGCTGAATAATATATAAATTGCAATATTTAGCCATTAGATGAGTATTTTTTAATAAAAATATATAGCAGAGAGAAATTTTGAAATTTAAATTTAAATATAAGAATGTATTATTATTAGTATAAATAAAAAAGGTAACATAAAATTTTCATGATCATTTTATTTATGTTCCTTCCCATATTTTTTATATTAAAAAATGACAAGGCCTGGTCGATTTGGATAAAAAATAAAAGTATCGATTTAATAAAGTTTGATTTGGCTATTTACTTTTGAGACGGTTACTGTATTTGATTCTGTGTTCCAAAATCGAAACTAAAATTATAATTATAACAAACTGATTTCCGAGTAATATTTCAAAACAACAGTTGTATTATACAGAACTTGCTGTACTTGATTCATCAGATTAACCCAATTCAACACCCTTAGAGGATTTAGTTCCTTTAACATTTATGTGAACTATATATCGATTTTAGAAATGTTTTATTTACCTTTGTATAAGTTGTGTGTCCAAACTTTGTGTCTTTTAATAATTCTGTGTCTTTCATTCTGTCCAGTGGTGAAATAGTGCCAAAACCTGCTGCGATATTAAAAAAAAAAAAGAAAAAAAAAGAAAAAAAAAAGTAGGCAAACTTTGTACCCATGTTCGTGAATGTGTTTTTTTTTTTAGCCTAGTCTAGATATTTATTTTTGAATTTCTGTCTTAGGTGTGTTTTAGATGTAATTTGTATTTTACTATGCTTATCCCCCCTACCCGATATTTATGTTCTATATAATGCACATATCGTCTGGTATTAATTATACATCATTTTATTGAACACGTAACCGTAGACAATAAAAATACATACCGTAGTCCCAAAATGAGAGAAATATTGTTTCGAAGAGATGTGAAACACATCGATTTCATTTAGAAATATCCTACCAATAAACGATTTCTTTCAGCAAAACAATTAAACATTTAAATATTAACACTTAATGCTGATTAGGCCAGTTTATTAACTATAATGGTTCAATCAGCGTAAATTGGTGCAATGTCAAAGAACAGAGTTTTATGAGACTTGTGGAGGAAATGTGATTGACCACCTGTAACTATCGACAGTAAGGACACACGACCAACACGAACACACAGAGATAACAAATGTTTAATATCATTACTTTGCTTAAGTACCAATTTAACTAATCGAAATATCCCCTTACCCTCTCTTACTTCAACAATAATATTATCAACTTTGAGTTCAAATTCAGATTTTTTAGTTATCTTTGTATTCATTTAATAATACTGTCCGTGTCTTTAAATAATCTTCAGAACTGCATATTAATATGGCCATTGTCAAGGCGAATGTCGAGCACAAGCCAGGAAGGATTACGCTATCTGGAACACCAAATACCACTTCTCATTCAGTTTAACTATCATTTTTTAAATGTTTATTAAAATTGTGGAAATCGACCTGAAATAAATGTTAAATAAAGTTAACATAATATTATTAAACCTAGTTGCTAATTATTGATTGGGTCCAGATGGAAAATTAAAATGCACAGCTGTCAACAAGTGATTGAAAATGAATTTTTACGATCGCTAACCGATGAATTGATCTTTGCTATAGGCCTAGCTACTGGTCATCTGTTTAATGCCCTGACCTTTTGAGGGTTTTTTTTTACATTGTACGTGATCTGAGCGCTCTTCAAAATGCCACTGGTCATTGGTTTGGATGAAAAATTCACTAGCAAGATTTTGAAGATATATACTTACTTACATATATAATAAAATTAGCCCTAGGATTTTGACGATACACACGCGCGATTGGAGTCTGCGTTTCCCCCAATGGCATAGCATTTCATTAATCACTTTCTTGTAAATTTCCTTGAGGAAACTGATTAATAATTCTTATTCTATTGTTTATATTCCCCGTGGTTATAACTTTAAATTGAAGTTTGTCTGACTTTCATCTTTGATGCAGTAGACGTAGACATGGAGATCGTCTGCCTCAGATCTTCCGCCAAGTCACGTTTTGCAACAACAAAGTGTAAAATGGCGGAGTTAATTTATTTTCAAAACATTGGATACGTATCATATGATAGTGACGGGATTTATAAATCAATGAGAAGAGACTAGTGACAAAGTAAGTAAGATGTTTTTATTAGGGGTGCATGCCCCAGGCACCATCGCAATACAAGACTTTAACTTCAAGTCGATCCCTATGTGTTTAAGATAAAGTTAGCGATACTGAAGCGCCGTAAAGTCGAGCCGTTTGGGTGGTCAAATTTGAAAGTCGCTTTTCTTCCATAATTACGAGCATCAAGTCGGCTTAAGAAGCCACATAAAAGCATATTTGGTAATATGAGAATGGGACGAGTTATCCCCCGTCGGCTATTTTCCCATATCTATCAGATTTTGTTTAAAAAAAACTTCACAATATGAGCCATGTCTTCCCATTCTGCGATGAAACATGACTATTTTTTTTTCACTCCGCAGACGTACAATTTATCTTTAAGATGTTAAAACGCACAGACAAAAACCGACCCTCGTGGTTTACCTGGATATTAATTAGGGCCACAAGCCGCGTGCTAAACCTTTGATCTAACGCTGACCGCAGTATGGGGCCGGGCAGATATGTAGAGGCTTTTTTGTAAGGTAGCCTTGGCCAACCGAGTTACGGTTACAGAGGAATACGTCGTATATAACGAGAAAATTATTAGGTTTACATGCTCTAATTGACGACAAATTAGCCTGGAAATTTGACCACAATAGAATGTATCCGGCGGTAAAGAGGCTGGGGATGGTTTTAAGGACTGAAGAATATGAATGATGACAGACATGAGAGGACCGACATTGAAAGACTAATGATATAATCTTAGCAGTTAGTTAAATAGCCTAATCGTTTGGCTGTCATGTTCAAATCCATGTGAATTAACATACCAGCTGTGGTTTACTATAGAAAACCCCCCAGTGAATACCAGAATAACAGCTTAATAAGAATACATATTAAGGAATGTTGTCTGAAAGTTGAATTCAGAGATGATTATTTTGTGAATGAAATGGCTATATATTTATAGTATATGTATTATCATCTTTTAGACTACGTCCCACTCGTACACAAACACCTTCGTTACCCCCCCCCCCCCAACACACACACACACACACACACACACACCTCTCCCGCCCTGGCAAAGTAGATTGGTTGGTGGGGGTGGGCACAGATTTGGAAATGAAATGTTGCCCGATTAATGACAAACCGTGCGTTGCGCAAAATGCAGGCAGAGGTCTGAGTCTAGGGCAACCCGCAAAAAAAATTTTTTTTTTTGTTTTGTTTTTGGGCCGAACGTGTATTACTGTCGTTTGTTTTATCTGTTTATCGCTGTGCGGTTTTCCTGTATAACAGTTACACACGCCTATTTACTTCAAAAGTATTTAAGACATTTGCAACCACCAACTTGGGGGATGAGCATGAAGATGTAGTTAACGAAAACATCTTCATCAGGTAACAATGAAAACACGATTATGTGGAAGAACAATAGATCTAGACTGTTTGCTAAACAAAAGATTACTTGTAGCCAGATAAGATGCTGTTTCAAATAACAATCGTATATTGAACTAATTGATTTAAATGAAGAACGCGATGCCAAGTCGATCCCACGGGATACGGAACGCGTGCATCATGTTGCCGATAACATCAAAGTAGTGTCCATTACTTGGTCAGCGAAGTGGTCATTTCAAGTAGTTAGTATCAAGTTTGGGTCATTCGTACACAATAAAATAAAAACCACTTAAGGAACACCTGATTCTAACAAGGCTTGTTAAGAAGCCTATTGAAATTCCTCGTCGTAATGTCGAGTGGTTCAGTAGCTGGTGTTAAGAGATTGGGTAAATGATCTACCAATAGATCACTAAACTCTGGAAATGCAAGAAATTGTGGATTTAAATAGTAAAGTTAGAAGATTAAGTGATCTACCTGCTAAGATCCAGATGGCGAAGAAAGAAACCTGGGGAATTAAGGAGACGTGACCTCATTGGCATTGCCGCGAACTCTCTATTAAAGAGTCCATACTGCTATTTTCAAATTTATCTCAAACTAAAATAATTTTACATACCATAATTCCAAGACTATATTTAGTACTTACCTTTATTATTAACATTTAATTTCGCTTCAGTTTCGTTTTTAATGCTTACTTTACCGTAAAAGGACGGAAAGAGATCAACTAATTTTATCAATGTAATCTTCACAATTCCAAAGCAGTGCTTGATGACAACGATGAACAACGCTGGAGTAATAAAAACAGAAAGATAAGATAAAATGACTTTCAAAAATAAAAAAACTGATTTTAATTACTTGAGTAAAACTATGAAAAATGGGATTACACACACATAAAAATAATTTAATGAGTGTTTAGAAAACTCACGCGAACGTAATATTATTTATTATATTCGCAACGACAACAAATATTATCGGACAGATTGTCGGAAACTCCGTCTTGAAATATGTCAGAATACATTGAGCTGCCTGAAGAAAAAACTGTCCAACGTTACTAATTTAGTGTCGTAAGTCAAACATTCCATAACCCGTCTTTGTTTTTATAGCTTTGCACACAGTAGACCATGGTTGGACACGCTATTTTGAAAATATGTGACAAGATATAGAAATGCCGGAAGATAGACTGTGCAGTGTTTTGAGGTTACTAATTTAGTGTTGAAAGTCAAAGATTCGATTATCCGGCTTTGTTTTGGGAGCATGATACACCATGAGAAAAAATGCAATGTCCTACGGCAAAGACGACAAACGATAATAGTCAACTGTAATACAAGCTGTCTATTTTGTTTTAGATGTCCAGATGAGATGGTTTAACTGATATCACCATACATACACTTGATTCTCTGTTTAACCATCGGATGGCCGCACAGATTAAATATGATTTTTGTTTTGCGTTAATGAGATAGCTGAATGGACTGCGTTCAGATGGATAACCCTCTTTGATTTAGGTCAAAATATTGAATCAAGTTGATCTGACAGTGTAATACCCAATCCGGCACATCGCATCATTGACTTTATCCAGTACAGACGTATACCACTATTCCCCCCACCACTAACCCAAAAAATTATGCCATCCAATGATATTTTATTTTTAAACCAAACATAAGACTCCTAGTCATTAACTGGATTATTATAGCATGGCATTTATGTTTATTAAAAGCAAAGTAACAATATTGTTATTAATTCATAAAACATGCTACATTATACACATTTACGAGTTGTTGTTAACTACAAACCTCCCTATTTGTCAAATACAACGTTTTAAATCTCAATGTCTTAAATTAGATTGCAACTAATTTATTTTTCTAAATTAGTGCGTATTAACAATAAGTATGAGTAAAGACAGATTAATTTTGATTTGCCTAGATTCATAAAGACGATAGTTTCCTCGTCGAAGTGTCGCATTATAATAAATTCGGTAATTGTGTATCCAAAACATTTCACCTTGTGTTAATATAATCAATTATCAAAGCAGCTATTAAAGCCACCTTCATATTAAAGCGTGAATCTGTGATGTTTAGTTTAATTTGTAAAATGTGTATACGGAAAACCACACCAAAAAGACAATGTGAGTTTTACATAATTTTATTCGGCAATACCAGAGTTAATAAGTAATTTAAAAAAGCAACACTAGAGTTATATATTAATACGGTTCCAGCCGGCCCCCGGGTCCATTCCCTTAATCTGATATGTGGTGTTTATTTCTAGCAATGTCTGTGTGGTTTGTCTTGTCCGCAGATTTGTTTTATCGGTTTTGTTTTGTGTGTAGTGCGGTTCTCCTGCACCTACTAACAGAAATTCTACGGTATCGCAATATCCCTATATTTGGACTGGTTTGAATTTCGAGGAACATCCTATCGCTTATACAATAATCCATATAAATATTTAAAAAAGAAATGCATTATTCACGTAGATAAATATTTACCCAGATAAAATTATTGTTCTCATATTTCCTGACAATTCCTTGCTTCAACAAAATGATATTAAATTCGTCAGAAACGTCGTCTGAAAGACAGATCAGTCCATATGGAACTTGTGAAGAAATATTAATATTTTTTTCTGGGTGATTAATTTCGACTTTGAAAGCGTATAATTATTTTATTTAGCTTCTAGCAGTAATAGAATCGGTTTGATGAGGTACAGCCAATGTTAATCAGGTTACCTTTCTACTAATCACGCCGTTTAAGAGTTGTTCAGCCAAGCCTTAATCACGAAGGCTAAAAAAATCATTCTTCAAATGTTTTTTTTTATTGTCAATTATTTCTTACATTAAGAAAATTGTGGTTTTATTAAAACTGAATTATACACTATAATATAATATTGAATCCTAATTACATTACAAATAATCTGCTGGATATTAAATCAATTTATAGCCCCTCAAAAGTGTAACTGCTTAGGTATACTCTTTATGGAACACCTGGTACTATTGCTGTAGCAACTCCACGTAGATAACGGATTGCGATTAAACATTTCTTCTTCATTAAACTTTAATTATTTAATTAGTTTCATCCCCGGTACTAAAACAAGTTAACTAAAGAAATAAAAATGGAATCCATTAAATATATATGTAGAGAGAAATATTCGTGAGTTTCATAATGGAATGATGATGGTATATATTTAGTCTTTAAGCAGGATAGTGATGTGTATTTAGACTTTAGGTAGGATAGTGATGTATATTTAGACTTTATGTAGGATGATGGTGTACATTTAGTCTTTAGGTAGGATGATGTTGATATATGTTCACTCTTTAGGTAGGATGGTGATGTATATTTAGTCTTGAGATGTGATGATATATATTTAGTCTTGAGATATGATGTTGATGTATATTTAGTCTTTAGGTGTAATTATGTATATTTAGCCAGTAGGAAAGATGATGATGCCTATTGATTCTTTAGGTAGGTTGGTGATGTATATTAGTCTTTAGGTAGAATGCTGATGTATATTTAATCTTTAGGTATGATGATTGATATTTTGTCGTAAGATATGATGATAATGTTTTAATCTTTAGTCTTTAGGTGAGATGGTAGTGTATATTTAGTCGGTAGGTAAGATGTTGATGTATATTTAGTCTTTAGATAGATGGGGATCTTTAG